GTGGAGGTGTGAATGTGTAGTCAAACTCTGATGTCAACCAAAAAGGGAATCATCGTCCGCCTAAAAACCTCGGCCTCGGTTTGGTTGAAGTGAACTCTCTCGAATGCGTATGTGAATGCCAAGCGGACTGGAGACCGCTTCAAGAACAGGAAGCAGGCAGTAGCGCACAATCACACAAGTTTTAAAATCAGACGCTGCTCCACTTTGGTTTACTTTTAGTGACGAACGAAGTTACGCTCATGTCTTGAGCCGGTTTTTGTGTCGTTTCCCTCAGTGGTTCTTGGTGCAATGCCACCATAGGTTTTCTAAAGGGTTAGACTCAGTGCAATGTGAATGTTGCAATCTTGTCCCTCAATCAAACAGAGTCTCAGGTGTGAAAACACCCTTATTCAAGTACTGGATTAATTCTTAAAAATGTTTCTTTATTTAACCTTTTAATTTGAAGATGCTGTCAAGCAGTGTGTACATTTTTTCCGGGGGCAACTTGTCTGATTAAAGTGAAGCGATGTGTTGACCTCTCCTAACCCAAAGTTGATGTGACACTCCACTTCATTGTGCTCAGATGCTGTTTGCTCTCTGGCGGCATTTACAGCGGGGGCTTGAGATGAGACAGGCTGATTACTGTGAGACAGCAGGAAGCAGTCAGACCACTAAACGTTAACAAATAAAAGTAAACAATATGGGGAGCAGAGACTGTCTGTTGCTCGTCTTACCACAGGACCAATAAAGAAAAGGTCATTACTCTGATTTTGGTCACATTTTGTGATCAGATAAAATGATGAGTGGAGGAGCTGTTGTGGAAAAAGATGATGCACCACGTGGATAAAGTCCCTCTTCACCATCCATGAGTCCCATTCGTCATTGCGAGGCGCGCTCTGTTCTTCTTTCTGCATGGCTTCCTCTCAGCATCCGCTTCTGCCGGGCTGACCATCCCGCCGACAGCGTCACTGTGCCTGCCTGCCTGCCTGCCTGCCTTTGTTGGTACGCTTGCACATGTTTATGGGTTCGTGCCTCTACTTCTGCATTTGTGCGTGCCAGATTGTTTATTTGTGGTTGTTCTGTTGGCGGGCAGAAGAGCGACATTAAAACCTGCACATCTTGCCAATCGCAGACGCATAACGTGACACGAGCCAATATTATATACCCACTCCAAGTGGAGGTGGCAAGCTCTGTCGCCTGCTGTTGTGAATCAGATGGATAGTGATGAATCTCATCCTTTCATCTACTTGTCACTTGATTACATCATAGAAATATTATTGTGTGCATGACACACGCATTCTGTAAAAGACATTTGCTCTTTTCCTGTGTGGGATTCTTAGCTGTGTGAGAATTTCCTCTGAGAGCAGCAGAGGTGTTTTGTACAACTGCTACTCACAGAAATGGCATTTTCCAGATTCAGATGAGCCATGTTTGTGTGTTTTAGCATGTGAAATTTAAAGAATGTGTGGTTTTCAGACAAATAGCCCGGTGTCTACTTCCTGGGGAAAATGTAACTCATAGATCTCATTTCATTGGGAAAAAAAAAAATGGTATATAGCGGTAATAAACACAAAGGAATAACTAGGACTTCAACTAATGATTATTTTACAATGGATTAATCTGTTGTTTGTTCTGAAGATTAATTGATTAATCAGTCTTGGACGCTCATTGGAAATTCTTGCCAAACCCTTGGGAGCCTCTCTGATCAATTTGCATTCATCTTCCTTCTAAAAATGTTAACAGAAATGTAATGGTATCATATTTTTGCAGTTGTAGGATTTCTCTTTTGTCATTTGATAAAAACAACAAGCAATTTCTCCCTTTGCACTAAACTCAAGTGTTTGTTCTAGTTGTACTTCTCCATAATGCCCTTCACCATTCTGCTTGGCATCTAGATAGAGTTTTAGGTGGACCAGAGTTCACTTTTTTTAGTCCACATCAGTTTGATTGTGCATGACTCCTCCCCAATAAAACAGACTTTCTAGGCAAATGAGCTAAACAGGATCGGTCTGAATGAACCCTTAGCCAGATTTGAAAAAGTTTATGAAATGCCGGTGTTGTCCTGTATTTTTCTGAGTTACTCGAGCCATCCAAGCAAGTTCACCCCCTAAGTTGACCGCAAGATCCAAAAAAGTTTCCTAAAATCTTAAAATATCACCACATGACCTCATGTGAAATTACATTCCTCCACAGTCGGAAAGAACTTGCAGAAGTTTAACTTTCATGGGAGGTTTACAAGAAGGAAAAACACACAGGTCAAACTGAAATTTAACACAGAAAATGTAGACACAGACCAAGAGTTCTGAAATAATATTCTTTGGACGGGTGAGTCTAAAACTTAATTATTTGGACATCCTCTACTCACAGACATGTCTTTTATAAACTAGAGCTGTAACGATCCATCAAATGATTCGAGGAACTCAGTTTTTAAAATTCCTTGAGACTATGTTAAACTATGCTTTACTATTTAGTGTGCTGTGTTCCGGCCGTGTAAGAATTTGTGTTGCGCAACAATATCTTCTGCCAATGAGATGTTGACGAATGCTAAGTGCTTTAGCATGTATGGAGGCGGGATGCAAGGGACAGAAAGAAGTGCCACCAAAAAGAGTCAAAAATGTGGTTTCACTCTAAACTATAAGAAAACCGTTTGGTGCTTGTACTAAAACATGGAATTAGTGTTTCACAATAGCAAGTCCTTGATGCCAAAACGCGTCAACAGGAAACATCCACTACATGCATCGAGCTCATTTGTGGCTGCTAACAGGTGGCTTTTTTGTTCCCTTTGAGAACGACTCAAACTTTCATCTGTGATTGTTAGTACAGAATCGAAAATTAATATAGGCTAATATTACAGGTACTTGGGGATGAAGAAAAGTATTAACGTGAAAATAAATAAATAGATTATGAGGACTATCTATTTTCTGCATTTTTTTTAATACTTCAAGCTTGAGACTAAGTGATGTTTGAATCATATACACTTTTCCATCAAGTACACATCTCTTTGCTTTAACATTTTGCAGCAGAAATATGTCTGATATAGTTCTTTTTGTTTATGTTTTCATGTTTTCCCTTCCTGGGCCCAAGGCTAGCGAGCCTTTACTACAATAACTAGATGGAATGATGTTATTAAGGTGCATGGAAGGTCACTTGTGAAAAGCACTTCATTCACCAGCTTTGGTTATGAGCCATTATGGATGGTAAAAAGATGAAGTAACAGAAAGTGTGCAAGAAAATACACTCTGTACAGATGTATGATGTTTCGGTAAATGGGTGGTGGGTGGAAGGTGGGTTGTTGTTGTGTGGCTATTAGTGAGTATTCGTTCTCACCATCTGCTAGTGGTCTCGGCGCTTTGAGATAATCTGTTATGACAAGCCATTGGCATGCACAGCAAACCCTCAGCATGCACGGTTTATCAAAAACGAAGCATTCACTCACCAGACTTTTGGTATTCATATAGCAGCTCCCATTTCAAAAGTTTATAATATTCACCAAAATACAAAAACATTGTTCTGAACTATGCAAACTAGAGTTTAGTTCTTAGTCTGGTCTTGACTGCCTTGAGTCATTTAGTCAGACGTGGAGACAGTAAGCGTCACAATGTGTGAAACAAAGTAGTTTTAGTAGATTTGTTAATCCTGTAATAATGAGAAAATGAGACACAGCTACCATCATCTTACCAGCCACTCACAATCATAGGAGATATTATTCAGCAGTGTGGTCTAGGGTTTATTTTCAATATTAGTAAGATGTATTCAAATTTGAATGACCAGTTGACATTAGTTGGTTTTTGGTTACTTTCCTAAATTGGACTGAATGTTTTAAAAATACTTTAATCTTATTTAATCGTATAGGACTACAGTCAAACTAATTTTAAAATGGTCCAAAAACATGAAATGAAGCATGTCATAATACTCAATTAATCACATGATGTATTCAATTGAGCTTGATCATTTCTATTCTGATTATTATTTATGGGTTTGGTTGTAATTGGTTTTTATTTCCTTTTTATTGTTTTGGTTGTTTTATTTTAGATATTTAAATGTCTTCTGGTTGCAGTGTGGGGTTAGTTAGTTTTTGAGAGGGTGAGCTTACATTATAACATCATTGTCAATATATTACTGGAAAAGGGTCTCAAAACAACAATATTATCATTTATTGCAATAATTTTGGAAACAATCATCCAGTTAAATTTGTTATTGTGACAGGCGTAGGTCTAATTACATTATTATGCCTAATCAATATATTAATTCAAATGGTTCCAAATGACAATATTATTGTTTATCGCAATACTTTCACAATATTTTCATCATGGTTTGCTAGATTTAACATATGAATTAAACTAAAAGCTTGTGTCACTATTGAAATCATCTGGTAAACAAAAACATCAGGGGAAGGGTGTTTTTTTTTGTTTTTTGTTTTTGTCTATTTCACAAAAGCAAAAGATATAAATTATTTGAATAATTATTTCTGCCTAATTGTAGTTGTGAGAACTGTTCTGTGTCACTGCAAAATTACATTTTATTTTGTGTAGTGCAAAGATTCCAAACAATATATTGTTGACTGTATGGTGATTTTTATGACTGTATTTTTGTGTTTTTATGATGTAAAGAACTGAATCATTGCTGAAATGTGTTCTGCAGATAATCGTGATTGATAGATTTTAACCCATGTTTTACCTAATATCTGTATATTTTCATTTTTTTCAAAACTTGCGAAGGTTAGAGCTTGCCCTCTGATAGACATTCTTTTCTGATGAAACATTCTCTGCTGCCTGCACAGGCTTGCATTTCTCACTGGCTGCCTTCACTGAGACATTTGGAGAAAACTACAACACACTGTACATACATCGGCTATATCTTTTACTCTTCTGCATTTCTCGTTTGTTTTGCAACATGAAGTCTTGCATTGTTAGCAATCTATTTGCAGCCTAAATGTTACAGATTTGAACGCAGCTTAATAACTCAGCATTTGTCCTTTTTCACATTGTCTTCATCTTGTGCCTATTGTTTGGTTGTTGCAGAGCCTGGTAGGAGCGTGATGAGCGCGCGCTTCCGCTTGCCTGCTGGCAGATCCTACAATGTCCGGGCGACGGAGCTGGAGCGAGACAGGCAGCACACACAGGTTGTGTGCAACGTGCTGCTGCTGGACAACACTGTGCAGGCGTTCAAAGTCAACGTAAGTAACCCAGTGCATTCATGGGACAAAAGCATGCATGAGCTATTTATCATTCACACATTGCCACCTGGTTTTTATGTAATCGGTAAAGCCGTGTACAGGAGCTTGTTAATAATTTAGAGTGCCATTTAAGAGGTAATTAATCTCAGTAATTGAGTTCAATAAGTGAAACTCGGTTTATATAGATTCATTATGCAGAGTGCATATGGCAGGCCTTAATTTCTTTTTATTTTACGACTACCAGCTAATGGAAACCCCAAGTTCAGTTCTTAGAAGAAGATATTACATGAAACCAAATTAATACAGATATGTCAACCACTCACTGGTCTCTGTAGGCGCTCAATATGTGGTTGGGTCTCGTTTTGCTTGAATTACTGCACCAGTAGAGCGTGGCATGAAGGTGATCTGCCTGCCTGCTGTGGGGTTAAGTAAGGTCAAGCTGCTTTAATAGCAGCTTTCAGCTCTTCTGAATTATTATTATTTCCTCTGGAGTTCCTCTCGTCTTCCTCTTGATAGTCCTCCATAGATTCTGTTTGACCTACTGAAAAATTAAATCTGCATCTCCATGCCAACTTTCTGAGAGCTTGATTTCCAAGTCAAAAGGAAAATTTAGCTCCATTTGGAAAGAGGCCACCCCTGATTTAAGTAATATATTGATTGTAGCATAATCAGACAAGTTTGGCCTCTCAAAGACCAATAAGCTTTAGTTCTGTAAAGAACATTTAATACAAGAAATGGAAGATATTTTAAATATCCAAAATAAAACATAAATAAAATGGATAATGACATCTCTGCAAAAAACAAACAAACAAACAAATCAACAGAATGAAAATTAACAAGCTTATTTTAGTTTATCATGTAATTAATTCCTTAATTGCATACCACAACAGACTTACTTTACAGTCCTCCCAAGACTGGGGCTATCCCTGTTGCTTTTCTGCCACACTTTTTCCCTTCACTCAACTTTCCACAGAGTCCTCTATGAACAGTCAGCTGAGACCTTTTCTGTCGTCCCCTCAAAATTCAGTGACTGCTCACGTGTCAAGTTAGCAGTCTTTCCCATGATCACAATAAGGCCTTGATTTCTGTATTTAAAATATATATATTATTTTTTGGTTTTGCATCATTATAACTTTCTGGACAGCTTAGTTTTGGGTTTGTATGAGTTGTAAGTCATGACCATCAAAATTAATAGAAGTAAATGCTTAAATATAGTTCTGTTAAATAAACAGGGGAATCTGTAGGCATTTCTATGTGATGTAGTAAAAAGAAAAAGTGAAACGGAATTTAAATGTTCAAAGTTTTTGGATTACAAAAAGTGAATATTTTTTATCTGAATTACTGAAATAAATACATATTTAGAGGATTATCAGATTTATTGTACTTGCTTCTGTCTGACTCAATATAATTCTGTTATTTAAAAAAATATTTTACATTTTTTTCTGGATGTGTTAGCATCCCTTACCAAATATACAAAATAAACTAAAAACACACCCATAATGTTGCTCCCCCATTTCCTCCCACAGTTCTCCATCCTCTCCTCTTCTTCACCTCCTCATCTTAATCTGGTTTAGAGGTTACATATATCTGTACACCTTCGTTGGAATACATGCCAAACCCAACCCACACTATTTATGTCCATTTTCTTTTCCACAATGATAATTAAGTTCATTGGCCCAAGTGTCTCATCACGAGTCGTTGCTTTCAGAAACACATGGACGAACCAAAAACGGAAGTGGCGAATAAGCTCATTGTTTACAGTCTTTAGTCACGTCTCTTTCTAGCTCCATGAGGCTCTTTGTCATGTGTTTGATCAGATGTATGTCGGCATGAGTCTGGAAATTCCCTTTGAGTCAAAAATTGCTCCTTTTTGACAGACCACATCCTTATTGTATAGAAAACAGCACATGTGTGTGGAGCCATATTATTCATAAAAATATGAAATGTATGTTTAACAAAGCTGTTCAGTGTCTGCTGCTCGGTGATTGTGCTTTCTAATCTTCTTTACGTGTGGTTTACTGCTGCGGATTCTGAGCTGTGATCATAGTCAACCCCCTCGGCATGAAATATTAAATTATCGGTCTGAAAAACGAAATGCTTTACATGAGAAATTGACCCTATAAAGGAATACTCAAGTTATTTAAAATGGTTGTTTAACACTAAATATGAGAACATTTGAATATTCAAAATAAGTAAGGTCAAAATGAAGGTGATTTGAAAGTGAAATTAATTTGGAGCAGGGACGAGGGACCAAGAAGGAAAACTGAAATGTATGGATCAAACGCTGCTTCCGTCTGGAAACATGTTTTATATGATTCGTTAACACAAAGTGGTAAAGAAAAAGAGAAGTGAAGATTAAATGATCAAAGTTTTTATAAAAAAATTAAATTTGTTCTGTCTCTTCAGTTTATCTTTGTCAGTCAGATTGAATGGAGAGTGTCTGTGACAAACAAGTCTATTAAAAATCTGTTGCTGAAATTTGACTAGGCCATTCTCACAGTAGGTTATGCTTTGGTCCAAACCAGTCTCTTGTAGTTTTGTCCTTGTGTTTGAGGTTC